GGAAAATCCGACGAAAGATGAGCAGAACAGTAACCTATTCTTTCGGAATAGACACGACCAGTAACAAGAGGGTCGGTCATGCGATGAACCCACCGGAGGCAATTTTTTTTTTTATTGATCCATACCATCCTCCTATAAGATTACGGTACCCATTTTTGGAATGTCATTGCATCGAAATACGTCACTAATTCCCATAATGACATTAAGTGCCTCCTAACTCCCCAAGCTCACGCAAAGGGCACCCCAACTTTCTAAATTTTGTGACAGATCACAAAATCTAGTCATAGCTTTTTTCCCAGCAAAGTACGCCCCTACTAGCTAACCTCTCTCTTCGAATCCGTGAAATTCATGCCAGCCGACGGCAATGCCTTCACTATACGATCCATTTCGGTGACTATGTTTGTGTAGACCAGCTGAAAATGTGGTTGGGATGGTCCTGATGGGGTGCCCTCAAAAATACCTTGGCCTGCGTCTCCAATTCATCCGGCGTGTACGTCTTTTTTGTGAGTAGACGCATTTGTTTGAGTACGGTGGATTTTCCACATTCTCCGGCTCCTGGAATATAGATTCTGGGGTTAATTGAAAAAACAACAAAATTGAGCTTCTGATGAGTTCGAACCTGAAGGTCTGTCTGGCTGGGGGTCAAACCCCCTACCAGCTGCGCCACGCAGCGCGCCGCGCGCCGCGCGCTCTCCTGGCCATGTGGCGCAGCCGGTAACCCTCTTGTTCATCACCCAAACAGGTCCCAGGTTCAATCCCATCAGAGTTAATTCTTTTTTGTTTTTTTTTTCTTTTCCTTTCCCCTCAAATCCCGGTCCCATCAACAACAATTCTATATATTTGCGTGGGTCTTAAAGTACACATTTCCTTTCTCGTCTCTCGAAGAGTCAAATCTTAATTTCTGAATCTTAATTAAACATCTTTTGCACTTTATCCCCTCCTCTCTATCCCCAAAAGTCTCTTCTCTGCCCGGAACAAACAATAGGGAGGGTCTGACGTCATCTGACGTCTTGGGGAATTCAGAAGATGATGACACATTTCACGCTTCATCATATCAGAAGATTACCGGGTTATTTTTGATATTTTCGAAAAGAGTGGAAATTTCACGAATTACGCATGTGTGTGTCTCGTTGCTAATTGTTCAGAAAACAAGGGGAAGGAGGATTAGGCATAACATATTGTTATGGACAATAGCAGAGTGAAAAATAGAGGTGATAACTCGAAAGAACAGCTGATGAATTTTTATATTGGTTTTGTTCGAAAAGTGGAGGCGGAACATTCAAAATTTGAGATGACACGTGTCAGGATGAAGCTCAGGATAACATTTGAGACGCAAAAAGGGAATAGTATTTCAAAAAAAATTCCCTATCGTTTGGTATGAATATGAAATAGGATTTTATCGCCTGGAACTGGAAAATCTAGTTTTTTCTACTGAAATTTTTGGTTTTTCCGGGTTTTGAACCATATGTCCTGATACAACCATATATGATATTTATACCAATCGATAGGAAATTTTTGTTCTACAACCTTATGTGCTCAGAATTGCCCCAAAATTTTTTCAGGACCGAAAATTTCTAAGCTTTGCTTCGCTGGCTCTGGCCGAAATTCGATAAATTGGGCGTTTTGGAAGGTTACTTTATTTATTTTCGTGTTTAGGTACCCTTTTTGGGTATTCTAGCTTCATCACCTTGCTCTAAAAAAATCCTCCTATCTAGTTGCATAAAGATTCTAGAATGTGTACCCTTCTTCTAGAATGAACCTAATCCCTCAGTCCCTATTGATAACCTGATCTATTTCCTAGACTAATCCCCTAGTCTCCAAGTAGGTGATTTTTGAAACTTTTTCGTCTAGGTTGCTTAGGTTGTGTCTAGAAACGCAATAAGAAACAGAAACTACTAGAACTCGTCTAGTTGGAGGGTACAGCTGGGCAGAATAGAGTTTGAACTAGGATATCTCAGTTGCAGGTAGAGCTATCAAAAAGTGGTCAACTGAAAAATTGTAGAAAATTGAAAACTAAACAAGTTTGTAGTTGACAATTTTTTACTAGTTGTTACCAGAACTGAGATATAGCTGTCTAAACATAAGAGGCGCCTTTTATTCCGGTTGACTAAAGTTTAGACCCTCCTATCTCCGGAACCAAAAGAGATATCAAAAAATAATCAACTACAGAATTGTGTGAAATAAAAAGGTAAACAAGTTTTTAGTTGACAACTTTTTGCTAGCTGTTACCACAACCGAGATATACTGTCTCAAGCAAGAGGTACAGTAAACACTATTTTCAGGGGGGGGGGAGGCAAGAGGGTTCCTCAGTTCCCCCAGGATCTCGAACCCAGTGTCTGCGTATCTCCCAATCCGATACTATTCCCCTATCACTTACCTAACAACAAAAGCTTGACAGTCCGCTCCTCACTCGACTGATTCTGCTTGATTTCCTTGTCGATCTGTCGACTCTTCTGCGACCCAACCTTTTCCTCCTCACTCTGACACAATCCCATAATTCGTCGAATTTTTGTTGGTTTTTTGTTGATTTTTTGAATAGATTTACTTTTTTTTACCTGAAAACTTCATTTTTGAGCGGAAATTGGAAGAGAAAATGCGTGAAAATGAGCAAAAATGAGCAAAGAAGGGGCGAGGAGGAGACGGAAAAAGTGGGTGGAGAGAGAATCTGAGAAACTGGGGAGAAGAGAAGAGTGGAATAGGAAACGAAAAACGTGGGAGATTTGAAAAAATAATGAGGGAGGGATACTTGAAAATGTTTCTTACCCTTTTTTCGTTTTTTGAAAAAAAATACGTAAATGACAAGGAGCCGTCTAGGAGTCTAGAAGCCAGGATCAGGGGGTTCACAGAGAAGGGGTCCAGGTGTTTCGGGAGTCAGACGGAAATAGAAAAGTGCCTGGTGGTCATGGGGGGAAGAGGTAAGATCCTTCTAGCACAACAACATCATCATAATCAGTAGACTGTGACCACCCAACGATTTTTGGTCAGTAGGTAGGTAATGAGGTCATTTTTCTGAGATCTTTAGGGGAGGTGTGGTGGCTGAGGGCCCATGAAGGACCTAGATCCCAAAGAATGAGCCTAGATTCCAAAAAAAGGGCCAAGATTCCGAAAAAAAAAGGTTCAGATTCCGAAAAAGGGCCTAGATTCCAAAAAAAGGGCCTAGGCCACCAAAAATTGCCTAGGCTGACAAATAGTGGCCTAGATTTTCCAAAATGTTGCCTAGATTTCCATGAAGCGGCCTGGGTTTTCCAAAGTGTGACCTAGGTCACCTAATGGTCCAGATCGCCAAAAAGTCGCCTAGGCTATCAAATAGTGGCCTAGATGTTTCAAAATATGGCCTAGATTCATTGGACCGGTCTAGACTACCAAAACGTGTCCTAGCTTCCCCAACCACTTGGAATTCTAGGCCATAAAATTTCAAAATATGGTTCAAAATATT